GGCTCTGCGGGCCTCGCCTAGCGACTTGCCTGTTGCAGCAGCAGCAGCAACAGCAACAGCAACAGCAACAGCAGCAGCAGCAGCAGCACAAGGGGGCAGGCGCGCTCTCTATGAAGGCTTCGGCGATGTTGCTGTTTCGGACCCGCACCGCCGCTACGCCATACTGCTAATGCACAGACTTCAGCAGGTCTGCTGCTGCTATTGCTGCTGCTGCTGCTGCTGCTGCTGCTGCTGCTTGTGCTATCGCTGCTGCTGCTGCTGTTGCTGCTGCGGTTGCCGTTCTCACTGCGGCTTCTGATGCCGGTGTGACTAGTAGAGAGTAGTGCTGCTGTAGCAGCAGCTGCTGCTGCAGCAGCGGCTGCTGCTGCTGCTGGGGCTGTTACTTGCGCTGCTGCTGCTGCTGCTGCTGCTGCTGCTGCGGTGTACGTACAGCGCGCGCTGTGGGACGCCCAGAGATGCACCGCCAACGGCAACATTGAAATTCTGAGGGAATATGCTCGAGCTGTAGTTGCTTCTCGAGAGGCCCCGCTGCTGATTCGTTCGCCTTTAGAAATGGGCTGGGGGCGCATGCAGCAGCAGCAGCAGCAGCAGCAGCAGCAGCAGCAGCACAGGCCTGTGGGCTTCGCTACGCTGCGCGGCGGCGGGCGTAGGACTGCGACGGAGTCGCCGGCGTCCCGCGCTGCAGCAGACTTCGAGGACGATGCAGCAGCAGCAGCAAGAGGGAGAGGCCGCATGCAGCGGGCAGCAGCAGCAGCAGCTGCTGCTGCTGCTGCGCGTCGCAGCAACCGCGCATCAGCAGCCTCCGGGCGGCGCCTTCGGGGGGGCCCCTCCAGCGCCGAGGCGGAAGGCCACCCCTACCCCAGCAGCAGCAGCAGCAGCAGCAGCAGCAGCAGCAGCAGCAGCAGCATACGCCAGCGAGCTGGGAGCCCCCCCCGAAGGTCTGGCAGCACTTCTCCCAGCCTCGATGACCCCAGAGACAGCCAGTGGGGTGGAGAGTTTTTGTCTCCTCGGAGACACCGGCGGCTGCGGCTTGCTTCCTCTTCTTCGTCCTCGCGCAGCAGCAGCAGCAGCAGCAGCAGCAGCAGCAGCAGCAGCACGAGCAGCAGCAGCGAGGCGGAGGGCGCGTCGAGCCGGCCGGGGTCGGCGTCTGCGGGGGGCTGCGCAGCAGCAGCAGCAGCAGCAGGGCGCCGGCCGCGGCGCATGCGCTGCGGCGCAGCGTCTCCTGCTGCAGCAGCAGCAGCAGCAGCAGCAGCAGAAGACACCCCACACGGGGCGCAGCGCCGCAGCTGCCGCCTCGCGGGCACTTCTGCTGTTGATGCCATGGCGCTGCTGGCAGACCCCACAGTCCCTGACAGCAGCAAGAAGGAGTTGCTGCGGCTGGCGGATCCTGACGAGCTGAAGCTGGCGCGGCAGCACCGGCTGCTGCTGCGCAGGAAGGAGGAAGCAGCAGCAGCAGCAGCAGACAGCAGCAGGCTGCCGCCCCAGCGCATCGGCGTCCCCGAGCGCTGTCTCCACCAGCGCTACGCGGGCTTTTTGCCTTTTCCCCACGGCAGCATTTTCTCCATTAAGGAGCTGCTGCTGCTGCAGCAGCAAGCAGCAGCAGCGGGCGCGAGTCGTTGGCTGAGGCTTCAGGCGCTGCAGCGGGGCTGGCAGCAGCGCCCGCGGGACTCCCAACAGCAGTAGCAGCAGCAGCAGCAGCAGCAGCAGCAGGAGCAGCAGGCCAAGCCCTCCGCACTGAAAACCCCGAAGGCAGCTGCTTCGTTTGCTGCCAGCGCCACAGATGTGCTTTGTGTCGGGTGCGTGCTGCTGCGCTGCTGCTGCCGCTGCAGCAGCAGGTTTATTTGGGCGAGCTTGTGGGGCCCTTCCGGGTCTACGCGGACGACAGCAGCAGCAGCAGCAGCAGCAGCAGCAGCCAGCAGCAGCAGCAGCAGCAGCACAAGACCGTCGCCGGCGGCCTCTGGCTCCACGTCCGCTGCCTCATGAGCATTACGGGGCTGCATGCAGATCGCTACAATCGGGGCTTTTTCAATCTCAAAGTTAGTTTTATTCTTTTTCCTTTTTGCTGCTGCCTTCTTTCTTTTGCTGCTGCTTTCTGTCTCTTGCTGCTGCTTTCTGTCTCTTGCTGCTGCCTTCTGTTTCTTGCTGCTGCCTCTTTGCCTTTTCCATGAGCTGCTGCTGCCCTCCCGCTGCTCAGCACCGTGCTGCAGGCCATATGCCTCATTTTCCCGCCGCCTCCGCTGCTGCTGCTGCTGCTGCTGCTGCTGCTGCTGCTGCTGCTGCTGCTGCAGGAGCTGGTGTCTACGGCCCTGAAGCGGCGCTGCGCCTACTGTGGGGCCGTGGGAGCTGCTGTGCAGTGCTGCGGCACTGGCTGCATGCATTTCTTTCACTACGGCTGCTGCCGGCTTTCTTACTTGGCTCCGGGTGCTGCTGCTGCTGCTGCTGCTGACGGCAGACACGTGACGCCGCCGCTTGCTGCTGCTGCCGCAGCAGCAGCAGCAGCAGCAACCGAGACTCAGGGGCCAATCAAGCGGGTCGTCCCCGACCCCCTCTACTTCGGCAACTTCATGTGTCTCTCGTAGGCTTCATCCTCTGATGCGGCTGCGCTGCTGCTGCTGCTGCTGCTGCTGCTGTGCTGCTGCTGCTGCTGTCGTGCTGCTGCTGTCGCCGGTGCTGCTGCCGCTGCTGCTGCTGCTGCTGCTCAGGAAGGTCTAACCAGTTGTGTCTCTTTAGAGCTTCGTTTGTTGTGTCTTTGCTGCTGCTGCTTTTGCTGCCGCTCGGAGCAGCAGCAGACTTTCTCTTGTATCTGTGCACTTGGGTCTTTTTGCTTCTGTTTTTATTTTTCATTTTTTTAAAGTTTTTTCTTTTTGCTGCTGCCTTCTGACTTGTTGCTGCTCCCTTGGAGTCTCTTGTGTCTCTTTTTGTTTCTTTTGCTGCCTCCTTTTGTGTCTCTTTTAATCTCCTGTTGTTTCTTTTCATTTCTCTTATCTCTTTTATGCTTTATTATCTTTTATTATCTTTTATTATCTTTTATTATCTTTTATTATCTTTTATTATCTTTTATTATCTTTTATTATCCTTTATTTTCTTTCATTATCTTTTATTGTCTTTTGTTAACTTACATTGTCCCTTATTATCTTTTATTATATTTAATAATCTTTTATTATCTTTTGTTCTTTTTATATCTTATTATCTTTTATTATTTCTTTTTGCTTCTTTTTATTTCTTTTTGTTTTAATTGCTTCTCTCTTTGCTGCTGGGCATCTGCCTGTCTCTTTCCGCGTCTTGCTTCTGTCTCTTCTTGTGTGTCGGAGGCGTCCTGCTGCTGCTGCTGCTGCTGCTGCTGCTGCATCATGGCGTCTTGGTCCCTTGCCCGCTGCTACTGCTGCCTTTCTGCTGCTGCTGGTGCTTGCTGCTGCTGCTGCTGGCTCCCCTGCTGCTGGTGCTGCCGTGCTGCTGCCGTTCTTGCTGCTGCTGCTGCCTAACTCGCTGCTGCTGCTGCTGCTGCTGCTGTTGCTGCTGCTGCTGCTGCTCAGGCCTGCCAGTGGTGGAGGAGCCGCTGCAGGTGTGGGCTGTGCTGGAGTTGGAAGTTTTGTCTCCTCCTCATGCTTCAGGAGACAGATTTGTGCTGCACTATTCTCCTTCGCTGAATGGGGCCCCCGACTGTTTGGTGCTGCTGCTGGACGTGCAGCGGGGGCTGCACCGGCTGCTGCTGCTGCAGCAGCAGCTCCTTCTGCTGCAAAGACAGCAGGTGTCCGCCAGCCAGCAGCAGCAGCAGCAGCAGCAGCAGCTGCAGCTGCAGGAGCAGCAGGCGGAGGAGACGGCCAGGAGGACCCCCAAGCGCCACGTCAAGGGCCAGCGCCGCGAGGACCCAGACCACACATACTACCGCAGCAGGAGGCGTCAGCAGCAGCAGCAGCAGCAGCAGCAGCAGCAGCAGCAGCAGGACCTCTCTGGCTTCCCCACAGTCCAGGTCTGGATGGATGGCAAGTATTATCCCGCATGCATCCGCAGCGTGAAGCCCCCTGCGCCTTCGGCGACGGAGACGGCGCGCAGCCTGCTTGCTGCTGCAGCAGCAGCAGAGCGCGAGCAGCAGCACGGCCAGCAGCAGCAGCAGCAGCAGCAGCAGCAGCAGCAGCAGCTGATGGTTGAACCCGTGAAGGGCCCCCATGGCCCTGCAGAGATCCGCCGCCTGGCCCTCGCGAGTGCCCTGTGGGCTGTTGTGGGTTCGGAGCCTTACCCTTTTTTTGTGACGGACGTGATCACCGTCAACAGCAGCAGCAGCAGCAGCAGCAGCAGCAGCAGCAGCAGCAGCAGCAGAGAGGCTGAGGGCGCCTCGTCTGCTGCTAGTGATGCTGCAGCCTGGCGCTACGTAGCCTCCATTGGCTTCGAGGCCCTAGAGGTTCAGTACCTACCTGAAGAGGGGGCCCCCGGGGGGCCCCCCGAGTGGCTGAGTCCGTGGGAAGTGGACTTTGCCCCGGGGCCCCTGCATGCAGAGGAGCAGCAGCTGCAGCAGCTGCTGCAGCAGCAGGAGTTCCCCAGGCAGAGGCAGCTCTGGCTCCTCCAGCAGCTCGAAACGCTCATGGCCACTCCAGCGGACACCAGCAGCAGCAGCAGCAGCAGCAGCAGCAGCAGCAGCAGCAGTAACAGCAGCAGCAGCAGCGTGGCTCCCGCGCTGCGCTACCAGGCGTTCATCGACGACATCCCTGTGTGGACGGACAGCAGCAGCAGCAGCAGCAGCAGCAGCAGCAGCAGCAGCAGCTTGCATGCAGCTTTGCCGCCTTGGGTGTCAGACTACTGGAAAGTAGTTCCTGTTGCTGTTTCTTTGTCTTTCATCAGGAGGCGGCTGCAGCACGGATTCTACAGAAGAGAAGCAGCACTGCATGCAGACTTGCTGCTGCTGCTGCAGAACTGCAGGCGCTTCAATGCTGCTTCGGACTCGCTGAGTGTGCTTAGCCACGAGCTGGAGAGGCACTTGCTGCTGCTGCAGCTGCTGCCGCAGCCGCAGCAGCAGCACGCGCAGCTGCAGCAGCAGATCAAACGCCAGTACAAGCTCGCTTGCCTACTTGCTGCAGCAGTTAACCAGTTAGCAGCAACAAACGTCGGCTTTCTCGCCGACCACGATGCCTGGATGCAGCAGCAGCAGCAACAGCAGCAGCAGCAGCACGAGCAGCCGCAGCAGCAGCCGCAGCAGCAGCCGCAGCAGCAGCCGCAGCAGCAGCAGCAGCAGCAACTGGGGGAAGTCGCACAACAGCAGGCACAGACCCAGCAGGAAATGGAAGTAGAGAGCTCCAAAGGCACAATTTCAAGCAAGCGAGAGGCTTCAGAAGGGCCTGAGCCAACAACAGCAGCAGCAGCAGCAGCAGCAGCAGCAGCGGCAGGAGAGGCAGCTGCTGCTGGAGCAACAGCAGCCCCTGCAGCTGCTGCTGCAGACAGCCCCCCAAGCGCGGCTAAGCCGACAAAGCGTATTAGCAACGGCTCCAGCAGAAGCAGCGGCAGCAGAAGCAGCCGCAGCAGCAGCAGCAGCAGCAGCAGCAGCAGCAGCAGGCGGTTCGTGCACCTGGAGACGCGCCTTCAGCGGGTCCGGCGCAGCAGGAGGCTGGAGGCAGAGCAGCAGCAGCAGCAGCAGCAGCAGCAGCAGCTGCTGCTGCTGCAGGAGGAAGAGACTGTCCAGCAGCAACTCCAGTGGAGCCCTCTTAGAGACTCTAGTTTAGGAGCTGCTTCTTCATCTCCAGAGACGGGGTCGCAGCCTGCTGATCCCCCGAAGCCGGCCCAGCCAGAGGTCGAGCAGCAGCAGCAGCAGCAGCAGCAGCAGCAGCAGCAGCAGCAGCAGCAGGAGTGGCCTGTTGCAGTTGCTGTTTCCTGTGATGGCGTCGAAGAGCCCACAGAGCTGCTGAGGCCCCGCAGCTGCAAGTTTGTCGAAGATGATGACTGCAGCCCACGAGCTGCAGCAGCAGCACCAGCAGCAGCAGCACCAGCAGCGCCAGCAGCAGCAGCAGCAGCAGCAGCAGCTCCAGCAGCGGCAGCTCTCGATTCTGACAGCAGCGAAGAGGAGAACCTTGGGGCTGCTGTGCTGCTGCCTGCAGCAGCAGCAAAAGCAGCAGCAGCAGCTCCTGCCCCTCTGAGGCGCAAACGTCTCCGCTGCAGCGACTCACAGCGGGAGTCCCCAGAGAAGCGGCAGCAGCAGGAGCAGCCGCAGCAGCAGCAGCAGCAGCAGCAGCAGCAGCAGCAGCAGCAGCAGCAGGGGCACCTTGACTCTGCTGAGAAAAGCCAGGGGGCCCCCGAAGCAGCAGCAGCCCCGTCGGCACACCGTTTGAGGGGCCCATTAGGGGGCCCCTCTTCAGGGGGCCCCCCAGCAGGGGGCCCCCCAGCAGGGGGCCCCCCAGCAGGGGGGCCCCCATCAGGGGGGCCCCCAGGAGGGGGCCCCCCATCAGGGGGCCCCACATTGGGGGGCCCCACAGTGGACACAAGGAGACAAAGCCATGCAGCTGCGAGGTCCCGCCACAGTGGCAGCAGGAGATCTGGCAGCAGACTTTCGCAGCAGCAGCAGCAGCAGCAGCAGCAGCTCTACGGGGAAGAAGGGGCCCCACAGGAAGAATGGGCTGAGCTGCAGCGGGCAATGGAACTGAGTCTCAAGACTTTTGAAGAAGAACAAGCTAGGAACAAGAAGCAGCAGCAGCAGCAGCAGCAGCAGCAGCAGCAGCAGCAGCAGGACGGCGTTGCGGAGGCAGCAGCAGGAGCTGCGGCAGAGGCCGCACACGCAGGCACGGGCCAAGTGCAGTCTGCAGCAGCAGCAGCAGCAGCAGCAGCAGCAGCGGACGCCTCGAACGAAGCAGCAGCAGCTGCTGCTGCGGCTCACAGGAAGGAGAGACGCGGGGGCAAGCGAAGCCGCCAGTGAGCTGTGTGGCAGCAAATGTGGCCCCCCAGCCCCAAACGCATGCATGCATGCATGCATGCATGCATGCATGCATGCGCGCATGCATGCATGCATGCATGCATGCGCAATCTGAGTGCATGCATAGGGGCTGAGTGCGCTTCGCTTTGGGGCTTTGGGGAAGTTTGAAAGCAACGGACAAGACGCAGTGGGCATGCATGCATGCAGCCCCGCGCGCATGCATGCACGCAGTGGCTTTGTGCATGCGTTTTTGCATGCATGCATGCATGCATGCATGCATGCATGCATGCATTTATGCATGCGGACAGTACAGACTGACGGGCCTCCCGTTTTTTCAAATTTTAATATGGCCGAAGTTGTTGCATATAACTGCATGCAGCAGCAGCAGCAGCAGAAATGTAAATTCGCACTATAAAGGAGTTTGTAGACTATGCAGTAAAAGGCCTCGGGGAAAATCTGAAAAGAAAAAAGTTTTATTTGGAGGTCTAAGCCCCATTCTTTTGCATGCATGCTGCTGCTTCTTTCTTTTATTTAAAGAACAAAGTAAGGAAGACTTGAATCGAGAGTTCCACAGGGAAAAAGCTTCGTGCTGCAGCTGCTGCAGCACACGCTGCTGCAGCTGCTGCAGAAGATGCTGTTGCAGCAGCTGCGGCACACGATGCTGCAGCAGCATCGTGTGCCGCAGCTGCTGCACACAATGCTGCAGCAGCATCGTGTGCAGCAGGTGCTGCTGCTGCAGCAGGTGCTGCCGCTGCAGCAGGTGCTGCTGCAGCAGCAGGTGCTGCTGCTGCAGCAGCAGGTGCTGCTGCTGCAGCAGGTGCCAGAGCAGTGCACACAGGATGAAGTTTAAAGGTCTTTGGGGACTCTGAAAGCACTAATTGGAGAGCTGCTTGCATGCAAGTAGGCCTGACTAGCATCGAATAAAATAAAATGGAAATAAATGCAAAAGATAAAATAGAAGTATTTATTTTGCATGCAAAGCAGCACAATAGTGGGCTGGGATGCATGCACTGGAGGGCAGCTGGGAGCACTCTGTGCATGTCCATCTGAAATAACTGAGTGGAAATGAATAACAAATGATAAAAAATAATAAATAATATAAAATATTTTGTTTATTTGAATTTAAATCATAAATGCATGCAAAACCTTCAAAGCCCCACTTCAATTCAAACTCGAGGGCTTTGGGGCTGCGCCTCTGCGCCCTTCCGGCAATTAATGCATGCATGCGCATGCAGCCGAATAAATCATTTTATATCTTTATATTTAAATTTAAATTTATATTTATTTATATTTAAATTTATGTTTGTACATTTCTTTAAATAAATACATCAGTGTATGTATATGCATAGAGCTGCAAGTACACCAATACATACATATATGTGTATGTATGTATATACACATATATGTATATATATACATATATAGGCACATATGTATATATATTTATTCACATATAATATATATATATATATAATATATATATATATATAATATACATAATATATATATATATATATATATATATATATATATATATATATATATATATATATATATATATATATATATATATAGGCACACTTACAAATGCCTGTAAACAACGTATAGTCGCATTAACCCGACATCCACACAAATCCATTTACAAACGTCCATAAATGCATTTGCGCATATATACACATATATATGTATATATATCTACATCTATATAAATATATATATCTACACATATATATATATATACATATATATATATACATCTACATATATATATAATATATATATATAATGTATATATACTCACACACGCACATATACGCATGCATATGTACATATATAAATATATGCATATGTATATGAATAATACAAATGTTCCTAATATATATATAAATATATATATATATATATTTCCTTGCATGCACAGCTGCGCATGCATGCACACTTCTTCTTCAAAGCTTCTTCGTCACCAAAGCGTCCAATCCAAATAGTTCAAAAACTTCTTCGCCTCCAAAGTCCGCGAGCAGTCGGCGAAGCCTAGGGGCCCCTTAGGGGGCCCCTAGAGGGGCCCCTAAAGAGCCTCTAAGGGGCCCCCTAGGGGCCCCTTTGGGGCCCCCAGAGGGTCTCGTCTCCAGGGTGCCCTCCAGGGCCCCTGAACGATCCCCTTTCGGGCCACTTGCCCCGTACGGGGCCCCTACGGGGCCCCCTCTAATTCGCGCGGGGTCCCCCCTGGGCCCCCCCGGGGCCCCCTGGGGCCCCCTTGGGCCCCAGAGGGCCCCCTGACCTCCCCCGAAGCCCCCCAGGGCCCCCCTGGGGCCCCCCGGGGCCCCAGAGGGCCCCCCGACCTCCCCCTGGGCCCCCCAGGGCCCCCCTGGGCCCCCCTGGGTTTGCTTGTTTGTGAGTGGTTATCTGGGGGCCTCGTATCCCGGGAGGACGTAGGCGATGTCGTCGACGTCGTGTCTGTAGAGTCCCTGTTTGAGTCTCTTTTGGTCGAGGAAGTGGCCGATGAAGCCGATGCTGCGGCCGAGGACGAAGAGCCCGTTGATGCAGCCGTTGTCGATGTAGTCGTGGGCCTCGGCCTCGGAGAAGAAGCCGGAGTGGAGCAGCAAGTCGCACATGGAGACTCCAATGAGTCCATCGACATTAAGAATCAAAGAGGCCTTTTTTCGAGTTGTCTCCTGCTCGACTTGGAGGGCAAACTGCACCAGCGGCGTCGCCCGAAAGTGCTGGAGACAGAAGTTCTTCAGCAACTCCACGCGGCGGTCGGGGTTGTGCAGGGACTTCACTCTGTGGCCAATTCCCATGATGAGTTTATTCTGGGCCTTCGTTTCTCGCACGAAGTCCGCAGGAGACAGTCCCCTCCTGAAAGCCCCGAGGAACTGCTGCGCGGCCTTGTCGCATGCGCCCCCAAATCTGTCTCCAATTGTGCAAAGCCCCGCTATCAAAGAACTGATTAAGTCCTTGCCAGCCCTGGCAGTCACTATAACATTGTGGGCCCCACAGACTGCGGGCCCGTGGTCTGCTGTTAGTAATAACACCAACTCCAAGTACCTGTAGCAGTAAGGGGCCAAAGGCCTTTTAAACCACAAGAGGGACAAAACGCCTCCCACGCCTAAGTCCTCCTTAACCACTCTGCTGATGGGCCAGCCAGCATAAAGGAGTTCTTCTCCCCTGTCATCCGAAATGGTGGAGACAAAGCCCTTGGGCTTGCGGACCAGCCCCATCTTCTTGGCCCAGGCATAGTCCAGGGGGACTCTGGGGACTTTTGTCTCCGACTTGGGGACGATTTCTCCGCGGCGGACCAGCTGCTGGAAGAGGCCCCGCACTGTCTCCCCCAGCGCGTGGAAGGAGACAGGCACGAAAGCCCCTGCTGCTCTCAAGGCCTCGTTCTTTGCTGCTGCATGCTCTTTGCTGCTGCTGGCCCAGGCCCCCGCGTGGCCGAAGGCCACCTCCGTGGCCATTAATGGAGCACAAGTCCCCACGCACCAGGCCACCAGGGGCTTGTGAATGCGCCTGTCTCCAACTGCAGCAGCAACTTCCAGTTCTGCTGCGCCCCCCACCTCCCCCAGCAGCAGCAGCAGCTTCACCTCGGGGTCTTGCTGCAGCCGCAGCAAGTGCTGCAGCATGCTGCTCCCGGGGAACCTGTCTCCGCCCACGGCCACTCCCTCGCGGGCCCCGTCGGAGACAGTCGCTAATATGTTATTCAACTCGTTCAGCATCCCTCCGGACTTGGTCACAAAACCCACAGAGCCCCCCCTGTAGAGTCTCGCGTTCATTATATTCTCCAAAGACCCCCCAGTGTTGCCTATTCTGAAGGCCCCAGGCCTCATCCCCCCCACAGTCGCAGGGCCTATCAAGCAAACCCCCCGGGCCCTGGCCTCTTGGCCAATTTCCCGGGCCAGTCTCTCGGGGACTCCCTCTGCTATCACGGCTATTACTTTGAAGCAGCTGTGCTGCAGCGCCTGGCGGCAGACTGCAGCAGCAGACCGCAGCGAGGCGAAGTTGACTAAGACGGAGACTCCGGGGCTTTTGGAGACAGCCTCAGAAAGGGACTGGCAGACTGGCACGAAGACTTCTTCAGTGCCGAAGTAAAAGGGCCTTAAGTGGGAGACAGAGAACTCATAGACTATCGCAGCTACTGAGGGCTTGCTGCGGCCACACACGTGGTCAAAGTCCAGCATTTCCTGCACGGCCCGCGTCTGCAGGCCCCACACCACGCACTGCGTGCTGCTGCTGAACAGCAGCGCGCCGCTGCTGCTGCTGCTGCTGCTGCTGCTGCTGGGGGCGGGAGGGGGGGGGAGCGACTCCTGCTGCTGCTGCTGCTGCTGCTGCTGCTGCTCGGAGCGGAGCTGGTTCAGCCGCTCCACGCACTCCGCGAAGACCGGGTTGCTCTCGACTTCGGCGAGGGACACTTCCTTCCAAGTCTTCACCCGCTGCAGCCCCGTCCCGTTCGCCTCGCTGCTGCTGCTGCTGCTGCTGCTGCTGCAGGGCGCAGCAGCAGCGCCGTTCTGCTGCTGCTGCTGCTGCTGCGCAGCCAGCTCCGCCTCCGGGGGACTCTCCGGAAAGGCCTTGTCCTGGGGAAGAAGGGCAAAGGGAATTATGGCAGTCATGAAGGTCTCAGGCCCGAAAACCTTCATGGGAATCCCCAACTCGGCGCCCGCCTCCCGCATCAGCCGCAGCCCGTCTTGGTACCCGGGGCCCCCCCGCCGCACAAACACTGACACCTTGAAGGCCAGCAGCTTCGCAGCAAACAGCCGCAGGGCCCTTATGATCCCCCGGAAGGTCTCGGAGACAGAAGTGAAGTTGGCAATGCCCCCCCCCACCAGCAGCACTTTGCCCTCGGGCCGGAAAGTCCCTGCTGCAGTCACCAGACTTAACACTGTTTTAGAGTATTCAAAAGTTGCTGCTTCTCCGGGGGCCCCCGAGTACTCCCCGTAGTTCCCGAGTTCTTCTCCGAGGCCCAACTCCCAGATGGTGTCTGCAAAGACCACGGAGGCCCCCCCCCCCGCTATGAGGGTCCAGATGCGGCCGCGGGGGTTTAGGACTGTCAGCTTTAAGGAGGCGCCTGTCTTCTGGTCCAGCTCCCTGCAGCAGCAGCAGCAGCAGCAGCAGCAGCAGCAGCAGCAGCAGCGGAGGGGAGTGCGGAGCCGGGACGGACAAACGCCAAAGGCTCACGAGCTCTGGGGGGGGAGATACTGCTGTTCTGCTGCTGCTGCTGCTGCTGCTGCTGCTGCTGCTGCTGCTGCTGCTGCAGAGATGGGTTGTGGGGTTGGAAGTTCATTTTTTAATTCATGTTTTTAATTAATGCATTTTATTAATGTTTTTAATTCATGTTTTTAATTCAGGTTTTTAATTATGTTTTTAATTAGTTGAAATGGAAGTCAAGACACTAAGGGCAGCAGCAAAATAAAGGCAGCAAAGACACACATAATAACTACCCACACAGCTAGCTAGCTAGCTAGCTAGCTAGCTAGCTAGCTGGAGTTGTGGGTGGATGGCCAGCTAGCTAGCCATGTGGCTTTCTCTCTTCATTTCTAGCTAGCTAGCTAGCTAGCTAGCTAGCTAGCTAGCTAGCCACGTAAGTCGAGCTAGCTACCCAGCCACCTAGCTAGCCACCCAGCAACCCAGCTACCGAGCTACCCAGCTAGCTAGCAACCCAGCTATCTACCCAGCTAGCTAGCCACCCACCCAGCTAGCCAGCTAGCTACCCAGCTATCTACCCAGCTAGCTATCCACCCATCCAGCTAGCTAGCTGGCTAGCCAGGCGTTTTACCTGATGTAGAGTTCCTCGGGAGTGAGGACTCTGCCGAAGGGGCTGGGGAGCTCGAGGCCCTCCCAGGCGTGGGGGCAGAGGAAGTCTGCTGCAGGGTCGATTTTTGCTGCTGCGTCGAGAATGCGGAAGCTGCTGCTGCTGCAGTCGAAAGCAAAAGGATTAATTTCCAAAAAGGACAAATGAAGAGCACAGAAGCGGGCATAGAGGCAGCGAAGGAAGGCGGGGAGGCGGGCGCGAGCGGCGGAGTCAGGGACCTCCTGCACGAGCTGCTGCAGCTGCTGCAGCAGCTGCTGCTGCTGCTGCTGCTGCTGCTGCTGCTGCTGCGGCAGCACCGGCAGCAGCAGCCGCGCTGCTGTCGCCTCCACGTCCCCCACCGCCACGCCGCCTCTGCTGCTGAACAGCAACTCGTCGCCCTCCGCCTGAGTCCGAAAAGCCACGTAGAATTCGTTTTGCTGCTCGTGGGGAAAAAATGGTTCTAAAATAAAGTGCGAAAGTTTTCCGGAGACTTTTCCGGAAGAGACCTCGCGGCCTCGCTGGCTCTCCAGGTGTACGTACACCTCGGCCCAGCTGCGCGCCACGAACACCAGCCCCTGCTGCCCGCGGCGCTTCAGCAGCACGTCGGGCTTCGCCACGATCTGCTGCTGCTGCTGCTGCTGCTGCTGCAGCAGCCACGGGAACTTCTCCGGCAGCTGCTGCAGGTCCGTCTCCGGGCCCACCAGCACGCACTCGCCCAAGTGCAGGCTGCCTGCGTCTTCTGCTGCTGCTGCTGCTGCTGCTGCTGCCGCCGCCGCAGACGCCGCCTCCGCAGCAGCAGCAGCGCCCTCCCCGCTCCCTGCTGCTGCTGCTGCTGCTGACGCTGCTGCTGCTGCTGCTGCTTCCCACCCACCCACCCG